CGAAAAAAGAGGTTTTTTAACAGGTTAACCGTCTGTCACTATGCAGTTGATTTGTGTTGGTATGTAGTCGTTTTGTGTTTGTTTGATGTAACTATGTGTGTCTTTGTGTCACTTTAAAGTTATTTTGAATCTCTTTGTTGACTTTGTGTCTCTTTTGGGTGATTTTGTGTCTCCTTATAGTTCCATTGTGTGTCCTTTGGCTTTCCGTTAATGGTATTCTTCATTTTTTTCTACTCTTTATTGTCATCATGAGTCTTTATCTGGTCGTTTTGTTTTTCTTCGCAGTCATTTTGTGTCAATTGGTTGTTGTTTTAAGCCGGTGTCACACTGTCCCAAATTGACACCAGATGTACGCACGATAAAGGAAATGTTCAAATTCGGCGGTGATCGTAACAACATCGGGCCATTCGTGAGGGCATCTTAAGCCTTCGTATGACCGCCGGTGGAGTTTCTCAGGCTCCGGCAGCAACTTCATGAGCGGTGGCAAAATCTTTGGCATGCCAAAAAATTGCCAAAAGACCTTGCGAAGGTTCATTTTCGTGTTGAATTCGTGTGTCCATTTTGCCCTTCGTAAGGCCATTGTGAGGGCATCTTGTCAAATCGTGTCATCTTCGTCTTTACTTCGTGTGATCACCGGTGCCATCGGGCATTTTTCGCCTCACTAAGACAATACGAAGGAAACAACAAGCCGCCCGATTGTCTTAGGAAGGCAACACGACTACGTGAAGCCCTCGCAATGCCGTCGTGTAGCCATCGTATTATAGTACGGTGACATCGAGATGGGACCGCGGTTTGCAATGTTTCCTTGCAGATCGCTTCTCTGGTTGTTTTATTGCAGAACAAAATCATGTAAACATATGTGAAACTGAAAAGCATATTACACTGTTTTTGTTACTTTCGTTGCAGTTGTATGTCTTAAATGTAATTTAGGTTAACTTCCTGTTTTATTTAGCTTTTATTTTGAAGGCGAGTTTACGCTGTTGATAGGAAGTTGTTGTTGCTATGGAAACAACATGACGAAGAAAACTTAATATATTCTACATATAAAGACAGTAAAGAACAAAGTCTGAAAATATCAGTGACAATTTTTATTATACAATCTCAAGTTTCCAAAATGTAAAGTCCCATAGTACTTTAACATAATTGTTTTTGTTACTTGTTGCAGTTGTATGTCTTAAATGTAATGTAAATGTTGCCTTCGTGTGTGGTTCGGGCGCCATCGCGTGGCCTTCTGTAGGCATTGTACTTGCTTGGGCTGTTGCTTGGCCGTTGACCAAGTTCGAGGCCATCTTCGTGCGTAATTCACAATTCCATATTCGTTTGTCCATTTGGTGTCAATTCCGGGACAGTGTGACGCAGGCTATAAGCATTTCATAGTTGTTCTCTTTGCTTCTTTGCAGCTGTACTGCAGCTCTGCTTTTGTGTCTTTCTATGTCTTTTTAGTCTTCTTGTATGAAATCTTAATACTCATGTATCTATAAATACCTTTCAGATTTCCACTGCCATTAAAGTTTAACTGTAATGTTTTACTTTAGTGTAAGGTAACTGTTCTATCAGTTTAAAAGCTGCCTTTTTGCACCGCTTCTGATCAGTTATATCTTACACAGGCTCCGCCCTCTACTGGACTCTATGGGCACTACTCTCAACAATGCTATGCGAGCATTCACCTACTGAGATACATAAACGTAGCCGGCCAATCGGGGCGAGCCTACATAAATGCGTGCGTAGGCCCACAGTATATAAGGCGGCCACGCCTCCTGACTGTTATCCTTTTCTCTTCAGCGAGCAGGATCGTTTCGCCCCCGTTGTTAGATATCTGGCAGTGTGTGGAGGCGACGTGGCGGTAGCCACTGAAGACGAAGGCTCCAGTGGCTGGTTTGGCGGGAATCTTCAGGGTGCATGGCCGCTAGGACACAGCATGACACTCAGACCGAACTCCTCCAGGGAGGCTAAACTGCACCTCCTCTGCCCGGTGCGTGCGCTGGCATGTTATGTAGAGCGCACAGCTTCCATTAGACGCACTGAACAGCTGTTTGTGTGCTTTGAGGATGGTGTGGCTGGTAAAGTTCTGTCCAAGAAACGCCAGACAGGATGGCTCTGCGAGAGCATTTCACATGCCTATGGACAGCCGGGGAGAGCCTTCCCCGCTGGGGTCCATGCACACTCTACACGGGGTATGGCTGTGTCAACAGCGTGAGTATGGAGGACATATGCACGGCGGCATCTTGGTCTACGCCAGGCCCCTTCATAAGGTTTTATTTCTTAGACATGTCTGGCTCTTTCTCATCGTCTGTGTTTGCCGGGGCAACACATGACTGGTGAGATGGGGGGGGGCTGTGGGTCAGTAGGTATCTGACCCCCCCCCTGGGACATAGTGCACTTCCCATGCTCCTTAGAGACTCGGAAACATGGTGCGCAGTAAACTCCATGCAGAGCCTTCCTCACTATTTTCCATGCACACTCTATGAGTGTGCTCTATCCAAGCTGCGGCCCCGACTTCTCCACGGTCACAACCGGATGAGAGGAAGTTGGGTTACGGCGGCTGTTAACCAAAGGCCAGGGTCAGTGTGATGCGTCGGTGTTGTTGAACGACAGGGCATTCATCCATCAGGGCTCCATCCACTGTACCCATAGAGTCCAGTAGAGGGCGGAGCCTGTGTGAGATATAACGGGGGTTACGTATTGTAACCCTAGTTATATAAGCACAGGCGGAGCCCTCTACTTGGGGCCCTGTCTTTCCTATGCCGCTCGCTGAAGAGGGTGTAGAATGACAGTCAGGAGGCGTGGCCGCCTTATATACGGTGGGCCTGCGTGCACATTCAGGTAGGCTCGCCCCGATTGGCCGGCTACGTTTATGTATCTCAGTAGGTGAATGCTCGCATAGCATGGTTGAGAGTAGTGCCCATAGAGACCAGTAGAGGGCTCCGCCTGTGCTTATATAATTAGGGGTACAATACGTAACCCCCTGTTTCATGTCAGTACAAGGGCCATGTGTAGAACTCTGCTTGAAGCAACACAAATACATCACGGATTAAGTGTGATCTAGAAATTCGCACACACACATACACACCCACCACCGCACCAGGAGTCCTCCACTAATGACAAGCAGAAGCACTCGCTTTATGGACGATGACCTTTACAAGCCCAAAGGTTAGGAACATTAAGTAGTGGGTGTCGGGTGGAGAAAGGGAACACCAGGAGAGAAGACAATTTGAATTTACAGGCATCAATATTTGAAAAAAAAAGTCTTCTTCTGTTCTCATCTTTCAAAAATGTGTTTCAATTTGTAGGGAAAGATGAAGAGTACGAAATAAGGAGAGGTGATGGATGAAGGGATCACATATGAGGAAGGGAGGGATTTAAAGGAGATGGAGTGGGGATGAAGGGCAAACCCTGGGTGTATTTCCTTTTGTACAGAGCGCTGTAATATGTGCTAAGAGAGGGAGATGGAGAGGGGGGGATGAGGAGAAGTAGAAAGCAGAGAGATCAAAGAACATTGCATTCCTTTCCTGTTGAGATGCAGCGAGGAGGAGAAGAAAAATAGCGGATGCCTCTGTGTGAGTCGGAGAAAGGAGAAGGAATCCGCTCTCCCGTCCATACATCCATCCAGACTTAAAGCCCAGGCACTGCAGCAGCTGTGAGGCTACTTAGAGAAAGAGCAGCAGGACGCCCGGGTTCAGATAATCCCCGAGAGGAATGACAGGAGAAGACAGTGAAGGTAGAAAAAGTTTGGAAGTAGAAGAGACGAAGGTGCAGGATGTCAAGGGTGAGAAACAAGTGTGAGATAAACAAATAGACATTGTGCCGAGGAAGAATGAATAAATAATAAAGTTGGAATGCAATTGTTCTAAAGAATATCTGCAGAGCCAGTGATGACAGGCTAATCGGTTTTGTTTGTCAATCAGAGCTCCTAATGCACTCACTTCATTATTTCTCCTCCATCAAATCTTCTTCTTTGCCGTTTTAATCCACCCAGATGCCGATACACTCCCAATCCTATACTGACAATCCCTGCCTTAAGGACGGTCAAACTATTGAGAGAGGCTTTGTGTTTCTGCGCTAGAATATTTACTTCAACACACACATATGCAGTGCCTTGCCAAGTTCCTGTTTACCTTTAATCCTTAAATGCTTTCTGAGAAGTATTGATTGTTTGCGTAAAGAAAATGTTTTCTGCGTATATACACGAATACTGGAAAACACAGTGTTGCATTTACCTTCAATAGTGAAGTGTTTGGAAAGATAAAAAACAACGTTAAGGGTCCTAACTTGCACTTGTTTTTTTGTGACTTTAATTACACATCTGTGTGTGTTTTGATGTTTGTATGTTTTCATTTAGTGTTTGTTTTTGGTCAATATGTCTTAGTCATTCTGTGTGTCTGTAGTTTTTATTTCTGTCATTAACCCTTAAGAGTCCCTTAACAAAAAAACGTATTTGTTCCTAAGGCCATAAAATGCCACCTTCACAAAAACTGCTATAAAAATATGATATATTAATATTTATTTCCACTTTCAAAGAGTCAGTCTTTTAAAACTACTCCAGCCTGACATACACATATGAAATATGAATTATATTTTGGGGATTTTAACCCTTTAAATGCCAGTTTGTTGAATAAACTCCACAGTTTTTTTATTGAAAAGAACAAAAAACTAGAATAATTTAAAAAAACAAACATTCAAGGAATATTTGATTATTGTTATTATTAGGTCCCTAGATTGGTCAATGATTGGCAGCACAATTAATTTGAATGCATTGTTATTTTTTTTGCAGTGTCAGATTTAAACAAAAACTCACACTCGTGTTCCTGAGGCCAGAAAATGCCACCTTCACAAAAACTGCTATAAAAATATAATATATTCATATTTTTTCCCACTTTCAAAGAGTAAATCTTTTAAAGCTACTCCAGCCTGACTAAAATGAATAATACAAGATCATTTTGAACCAGAAAAACATTTATTTTACAAAGATGAACATTGAATGAACACTGTGAGAGTCCAGCTCAGGTGGAGCAGGGGCTGCAAATGGACAGACTGTGGTCCTTGCATATTAATTTCCCACATTTGCAGCAGGTCCTGCAAACTCTTCTGTCCATGCAAAAGTGGCACTGCCTCCTGCTCTTCCGTTCACTGATGAGAGAGGGGCCTGCAGCAGCACCCTGCAGATCTGACACCATTGTTGCAGCGGCTGATGAGCGGGGAAGGCGCCCTCTCTTCTTGATGTGTGGGGTCACCAGCATTTGTCCCACCTCTTCAATGAAGAGCCTCCTCCTGTATGGTTTCTGCTGCTGCCAGGATGGCTCCATTGATGTCCACAGGACGTAGGCGTTGTAATGGGAAATGTCAACCAGGTTGTGGAAGAGGGCAAGTGGCCAGCGATGTGTTCTCCTCCTGCAGGAGTAGGTGGCAACAACCTAACAAAAACATAAAACAAGACAATTTGAATAAATGATTCCAAGCATTTTCTCTCATGATGCAAATATTAATTATTTTATAGGAAAATGCTCATTTGAAAAAAACCTACATATATTTCAGACAAGAATATAAAAGTAAGAATACATGTGTGCCTACCTTATCAAGGTTGTCGACACCTCCTTTGCATCGGTTGTAGTCTTTGATTATGACTGGCTTTCTCTTCATTTCGTCGCTTACGTCTGGACTGCAGTGTTTCGTGCTTAGAAGCAGCACATTCCTGCCCCGTCGAGGGATGTAAGAGACCAGTGTGTGGGTCTTCGTAAAGGCAAAGGTGGAGGAGAGGATCGCTCTCGCTCTTGCCTGGAGCAAAATAGGGGGAAGCTCAGGCTTGTTTCGGCGAATTGTGCAAACCAGGGCCAGTTTTCTCCTGAGCAGCTCCTCAGCCAGTGCGAAGGACGTGAACAAATTGTCACAGGTAATGATGTGTCCCTGGAGCCCCTCTGTCATCTCCAGGACCACCCTCATGCCCTGGTTGACTTCAGAAGGACTGCCAGCTGCTTTGCCTGTATACACCTGCAGTCTCCAGGCGTAGGATGATTTTACATCACAGTTTGCCCAAATCTTTATACCGTATTTGGCCGGCTTTTTTGGCATGTACTGCTTGAAGCTGCACCTGCCTCTGAATGGGACGAGCTGTTCATCCACGCAGACGTCGCTGAATGGGCTGAACAGCATCGGCAGGCGGTGCGTCCACATATCCCAGACTTTGCGGAAGGCAGCCAGCTTGTCATCACGGCGCCACCGTCTTGTCTCACTCCAGAGGCTGAGGGTCGATTCATTTTTTGATCTGTAAACACCGGCCAAAATGAGCAGCCCCACGTAAGCCTGCAGTTCCTCTGTGTGCATATCTCGCCACTCTGCAATTGACCGTCTCCCATGCAGGTTTGTCATGGACACAATATGCTGCAGGATGTCATCTGTCATCAGCAGTGCAAAGCTGGATGCCGGGTCACTGATTCGGGCGATAACATAGTGTGTTGGTCCCAGGATCAAACTTCTGGCTGCTGGGACGTAGCGGAGCGTCTCAGTGTTTGTGGGAGACCAAAACACTTTACCATTTTTTGAAGTCCATCCTGCAGCTGCTTCCTCCATCTCCCCTCCTCTCTCAGTTTCAGATGAGTCTGAGTTGGACTCTAGCTGGTCTGTTCCCACCTCTGAGGCGTCCTCCGTGGACTCTGAGGGCTCTTCTGTGTCAGCCTCAGAGTCCACGGAGGAGGATGAGGAGCCATCCTCGCAATCAGAGTGCATGATGATGTCCAGAGCTTTCCGTGTGCTGTAATGCCTTGCCATCTCCAAAAAGACTACTCCTGCACTGATAGTAATACTTATAACCATGGCTGCAGTGCACCTGCATAAACAACCTGAGTGAGAACCATAACTTTGTTTTGCGAGAACCAAAACAAAGTTTTGGTTCTCGCAACTCATTGTTTTTATTATTGAATTAGATTATTATGCAGTGTGGCCTTCTAAGAGAAAAGTCTTTTGAAGTTGGACACAAACACGCACACGCACACATACACACACACACACACACACACGCACACACCATTATCCAACATCAAAAGCGACACACACATATCATTTCAGTAGCAAGTGACCCTTGCAGAAAACAGTAAAAAGTGTGACATTTTGCTGCAGGCTTCAAAGGGTTAACATTATCGCCATCTTGTAGACAAATGTAAAAATTGAAAATTGAAAGCTAGAAGTTCAAAATGAAATCTTAACATAAAGGAAATCAAGAGTTTATGATAAGATAAATGTGGGGTCAAAAAAAGCATTTTCAATGGTTTTCAATGGGGCATTTTTTGACGCTAGGAACTAATGTGTCGGTTTTTGTGTAGCTTAGCCATTTTAGGCTAATTTAAAAAACTGATACGACAATTCAATATACAACTAAAAAAGAATATCCTCTGGCAAGTTTGAGCAATATTCATTCAACACAGCCAAAATGGCTTTAACATGAAAACCCGAATGGCTGAAAAATGGCCCCAGGGACTCTTAAGGGTTAAAGTACTTCTGTGTGTTTTTATAGTTGCTTTGTCTCTTTTTGGTCTTTTTATGTGTCTTTGTCGTCATTTTGAGTCTCTTTTAAGTCGCCTTGTGTTTCTTTGTCGTCATTTTGTGTCTATTTGGTGTTGTTTTGACTATTTCATAGTCGTTCCCTTTGCACTGTTTTTGTTTTTATCTCTTTGCAGTCTTTTTGTTTCTGATTTAATCTTTTTAATGTTTCTTTGTGATGATTTTGCGTTTACTTTCATTGCACATTATCATTCTAAGACAAACTGTTTTGAATATGTATATTTATCTTGTTTTCTCTGAACAGACAAATATACTTTGGTTCAGAAGGTTTGTGAACAGATGTGTGCCTAGGTGGGCTCTACTGGAGCAACTGGACTGCATATGTGTCTGAATTACAACGTGGCATATTTAAATAGTTCTCCATGTTTTAGAGTTAAGAGGTTGTTCTTGATTTGTCTTTAAATGGTCCTCTTGCTAATAATATTAACAATCAAGCTGTTTAAGATGCATTGCTGAAAGCCATGACTTTTATGGTCCTATTCGCTGATCCAGCTTGCCCCTAAAGATAATGCAGCCATTAATAATGTGTTTGATTGCACCTGTGCCCTTTGTGCTGGCAAGTCAAAATGTTACTTTAATCAAGTGGCAACCAATGCTGAAGTACCTTAACCCTCATTATTTATAATGACAAGCAGGGGATACATTTATATAGAAAACAAATGTTGAACCTATTCTTATTCTTTCATAAAGCAGTGAGATCTGTTTGACTCCAAATAATGAGAAACTAAAGCCCATACAAGCGGAACATGACGATACAAATGGTCTATGTGTGGAAGAGAAAGATATCCAAGCTCAAAACTCATTCCGACGCTGTTTGCCATGGGATTAAATATCCCATGTGTGTTAATAATTGTTTTATAATTAAACACAGGGTTACATGTCTTCCAGGCACTTAAGACTTTATATACCTTGATTTAAAAAATAAAAAAAACCAGCAGGGAACAGATTGACACCCGTCCAATTTATCTCCTATTGACGTGATTGAAGTGTAAAATACTGTCGGTTAGTGACATTATTCAAATGTTAACAGCCATGTAATGTTCATTTTGTATTCAACTTTAATGTTCTTGTGCATTTGAATTGTCTTCAATGACAATGTGAAACATGCAGAATGACACTATACTTTAGGTATACAGTATCACTGTTCTTTTGTAAATCTTTTTGTAGCCCTCATATCCAAATGTAATTGTTCAGTATTTTTCCAAGTGTTTCATTTTACATTCGGTTTATTCTATTTGATATGAATATATGTTTTTAGTCCGGCCACTTACATGAACCATTTTGTCCATAGCACTTTTTAAATCGCACAATTTTGTATATTTTACTTTTGCGCATTACTTATCTTGCATTGTTGAAAGAGCTTGATGCTCAAGATGTACTAAATGGGTACCAAAATGACCCATCCTTTGAATCAGCTGGTATTAGGATGTGTGCTTTGGCTTGCTGATCTCTCAGGGAAATGACCCCCAGCCTGCTGGCACTGATCACACTCTAACCTACTCTTATAATATGCTGCTTCAGCCTTACTGTGAGCACTGCTGGGCTGCAGATGCGGGACATTGTTAATGCGGGGGGGGGGGGAGCAGGGGGGCAGGGCATACTTCTAATGAGGTTGCATTTTTAGAATGCTAATTACTGTCTACATAGTGTTTCAGCCGTTAGTGATATTTAAAGGATTTTGAATATCATGCTGGCAGAGCTTGTGTTATTTCAAACAATAGGCGTAACGGAGCAGAAAAAAGGAAAGGAAAATGGAGTTAAGTTAAGCATGCTGAGACCTAACTGAACTCTTTACCAGATGTGGAGTGTAGATTAATAACCTCGATTTATAATCAGGCAATGTGTGGTCACCTCTATTTCTGGGTCCTTTAATTAGGTGTCTTGATGGAATATAGGAAGGAAGCGACCGGGGCCCTTATCGGCTGATCCAAAGATAACTTATCTCTTGTTCCTTCACTTATTGCTCCTCTTCTCTTTCCTTTCTCATCCTCAGAGATGTTATTCTCCACAGGCCCTGTCGCCAGAACCTGTTCATAATCCCAAAGCAATTTGCAGGGACTTTAGCTCAACTAATCTTCAGGTAGAGCTCCTCATGGGCCCAATAACCATCACAGTAACCTCCTTATTCCCTCAACTTCGAGTATTGATTTTAAGGCTAGGGTAATAGGGGCGAGGAGGTCATCTCTGCCCTATTTCTTTAGACATTCCTGTATGTAATTAACTGCAGTGACATGCAGCAGTGGTGACTCATTCGACTAATGGAACCTAAAAGGGTTTCAACGTTAAGTTGAAAAAGTTGTCATCCATTCATGCACATGACGTGTGTGCTCATGCAATTAATCCCCTCATGTAGTGACACGAATGGAGATGAATTACTATCCCTTATCAACAGTTGATTTTCTTTACTATTTTCATGTGTTGTACAATTTGTAAAAGTACAATTACTTGGATGTTAATTGATTGGGTTTCCTGTAAAAATTCAATAAAAAAAGATGTACTGCCTATATTAAAAATGTAAGCTTATCTTAAGAGACACCTTCAAAATGTATCCATCATTTCAAGGTGGGACGTTTTACTGCTTGACTTTCAAAGGGCATGGATTAGATTTGATGCGAGGTATGACCCTCTCATTCATCTCTATGGCCCCCCGTGTCACTGACGTTAATGCTGACATAATGGTCATAAGATCAACTTTCAGTCATGACCTTCAAACTCTGAGAAACTTAAACGGTGTAAAAGCTCTTCCGCCTCAAAAGAAGGGAAACAATTCATTAGTAGCTGCTTCCAAATTAACCTTACTGGCATTAATATGTAACAAATCCCTTGGTGATGTGCACCTAAGATAGAAACTCAGAGACAACATAAAGCTGAGGTGACACTCACATTCTCCCTCCTACTCAACTGTTTTATGTTACCAAACTTATAAATGGAGCCATTTAAACCTTAAACACGTGTTGAGTGATACATGTTCTGTAGATGTGCTGAGACTGTTCAGTATTACAAATTCGACTCATGAATTTGATTTTATAATTGTATACCTTTTTTTCACAGTGGACTTTGTTATCTAGGGGGGGGGGGGTTACTTTTCAAGCCAGTTTTGGCTTCTTACCTTTATACTATACGCAGAAAGGTAGAGAGTGAGTCAGTGTTAAAGCTCACATTATAGGGCCATACCTATACAAAACATGTCTCTGAAGCGTTTGCTCAAAATACCAAACAGATCACCCATTGTAGCATGCCTCATACTCCTCTATTTCAGCCCTGTTACTAAAGTGCTGATTCTGGGTCAGTAGCTTTAAATGTAACCGAGCTGCTGCGAGCCATGCCCCTTTGGAGCTGCTGCTCGCCACGCCCCTTTTGAGCTGCTGCTGGCCACGCCCCTTTGGAGTCCGCATGCAAGCAGTGAGCTCTGTGAAGAGAAGGCTGTCTACCAGCAGACCAGTGGCGGCGCCAGAGATTAACTCTAGGGGGTGCTGTGGGGTAGCTTGACGTTTCATAGAGGGTGCTCAAACATTACCAGCGCTACAGTTGAATTTTCTACTGCAACACTCCCCACACACACACACACAGTGCACCCGCGACTGTTACGGAGCGTCCACACAGCAGCGTGCGTTGACGCTTGGAGGTGGGCGTATCTGAAGCTTGGGGATTTTTTGCAACCAACGCGACCAACAACCAATCACATGAATCTCCCGCCCCCGACATACAAAGCAATAGCAATGTTAAAACGAAGTAAACTGGATATAAAATCCCCAAACAGGCGAAAACCTGCCACCTCCCTCCATGCCTCGCTCCTCCGGTTTGTATCCCGGTAGATGAACAGAGACTGATCATACAGCACCGGGTGATTCACTACCGCTACAATGAATTTTCCTTCCATTTTTTGGAATATGAGAAAATGACCTGCGTAGTCTCTCCCAGTTTACACGCGGTTTGATTGGCTAGCGCTTGTACTGGCAGATTTGCATAAACGGGATTTCATTGGCTGACGCCAAAAGTTGAACATTGCTCAACTTTTGACGCCAGCAACGCTCCACGTCGCTTCCCAAAATGCAGTTCGGCTAAAAGTGACGTCACCCCATTCAAAGTGAATGGGCAAAAGTGTTGGAAGCTTCAACGCACGCCGCTGTGTGGACGGGCCGTTACAATGAAGGCTCAATAATCAGCTCACGGCATATAGGTGTAAGCAGGGCTAAAGTGCTATTTTTACA